ATCTTCCTCTTATGATTAACTGGATTTATGGCTATGGTATTAACTGACGTTAATGAAAAATTTCAGTCATTTAGTTTGGGAAATTCTGAATCACAAAAAATTCATGATATATAGGACATGAAAATCGTCAAATATGTGCTTACCTGCTTTGGGTCTCGTTTGAACTTGAAAATGCACCCATTTTTCACGTATAATGAACAAGGTCCATTGCTAAGGTCCCAACAGATTGTCTATTTTATTTTGGAAATTTTGAATTACAAAATATCCATTGACTATAACACATAAAAAATCGATAAAATCTTCATTTATCTTCTTTGGGTATCATTTGAACTTCAAAATGTCTCTCGTTTTTCCCGCAGGATAAACTGGACCCGTTGTTAAGGTCTTAACGGACGTCCATAAACAATTTTAGTCATTTTGTTTCAAAAATTTTGGATCACAAAAAAATTCATGGACTATAACACAAGAAAATCGACAAAATCTACGTTTATCTTCTAAAGGGCTTGTTTAAACTTGAAAATGCGCACGTTTTCCCTATGGAATGAACTGAATCTATTGCTAAGGTCTTAAAGGACTTCCATGAAAAATTACAACTATTTTATTCTAGGTATTTCGAATCACAAAAAATTCATGGACTATAGCACACAAAAATTGGTAAAACCTGCATTTTCCTGCTTTGGAGCCCGTTTGAACTTCAAAATGCGTCTGCTTTTTCCATAGGACGAACTAGGTCAAATTTTTAGGTCTTAATGGACGTCCATGGAAAATTTTGACCATCTTATTTCGGAAAATTCAGTTAATAAAAAATCAATGAATTATAACATATGAAAATTGATAAAATCTGCATTTACCTATTTTGGAGCTTGTTTAAACTTGATAATGCGTTTGGATCACAAAAAATCCATAGACTATAGCACATGAAAATCGATAAAATCTGTGTTTATCTACTTTGGGGCTTGTTTGAACTTTGTAATGCATCTATTTTCGGGGGAAAATGAATTTGGTTCATTAATTAGGTCTTACTGGATGTCCACGAAAAATTTCAGACATTTTATTTTATCAATTTTGAATCACAAAATCCAAGACTATAGCATATGAAAATCGGTAAAATCTGCTTTACCTGTTTTGGGGCTTGTTTGAACTTGAAAATGTACCAATTTTCCCCACAGGAGGAACTACGTCCATTTTTAAGTTCTTAAGGAATGTCCATGAATTATTATAGTACACGAAAATCAGTAAAATCTGTATTTTTCTGTTTTAGAGCTCGTTTGAAGTTGAAAATGCATCATTTTCCCCATGGGACAAAGTACGTCCATTTCTATAGTCTTAACGGACATCTATAAAATTTTTGGCCATTTTGTTTTGGGATCTGATTCACAAAAAATCAATAGATTAGCAGACGAAAATTGGTAAAATCTATGTTTACCTGCTTTGGTCATTTGAACATGGAAATGCGTCCGTCTTGTCCCGAAACGAACTTGATTCATTGCTTAGGCCTTAACGAACGTCCATGAAAATTTTTGACAATTTTGTTTCAGGATTCAAGATCGAAAAAATCCATGGATTATAGCACATGAAAATCGATAAAATCTGCATTTACCTAATTAGAAGCTCGTTTGAACTTGAAATTGCGTTTGTTTTTCTTGCGAGATGAATTGGGTCCATTGCTAAGGTCTTAAACGATGTCTATGAAAAATTTCAGTTATTTTGTTTCGAGAAGTCCAGATCACAAAAACACCATGGATTATAGCATACAAAAAATGATAAAATTTGTCTTTACCTGCTTTGGAGCTTGTTTGAACTTGAAAACGCGTTCGTTTTTCCAGCGAAAAAAATTGAGTCCATTGCTAAGGTCTTAACGAACGTCCATAAAAAATTTCAACCATTTTTTGGGAAATTTTGGATCATAAAAAGTACATAGTCTATAACACATGAAAATTGGTGAAATATTCATTATCTGTTTTGGTGTTCGTTTGAACTTGAAAATGCGTCTGTTTTTTCCCGCTGGTTGAAATAGGTCCATTGCTAAGGTCTTAACAAACGTCCATGTAAAATTTCAGTCATTTTGTCTCAGGAATTCCGGTTCACAAAAAATCCATGGACTATAACACACGAAAATCGATAAAATTTATAATCTATTTTGGAGTTCGTTTAAACTTGAAGAATCTCTCACTTTTCCCCACAAAACGAACTAGATCTATTGTTATGATTTTTCTGTGCATCTATGAAAAATTTTGGCCATTTTTTTGGGGAATTTTGGATCACAAAAAAAAATTCATGGACTATAGCACACGAAAATCGATAAAATATGCATTTACATACTTTTTGGCTCGTTTGAACTTTAAAATGTTTCAATTTTCCCAGCGGGATGAACTAGGTCCATTGCTAAGGTCTTAACGGACATCCATGAAAAATTTTGGCCACGTTGTTTTGAGAATTTCGTTTCACAAAAATTCACTTATACCACACGAAAATCAGCAAAATCTGCATTTAGAGCTTGTTTGAACTTGAAAATGCGCCCATTTTGGGGCATATTTGAACGTTAAAATGCTCCTATTTTCACTACGGAACAAACTGGGTCCACTGTTAAGGTCTTAAAGGACTTCCTTGAAAAATTGCGAACATTTTATTTTAGAAATTTTGAATCACAAAAAATTCATGGACTATAACACACAAAAACCGATAAAAATATGCATTTTCCTGCTTTGGAGCCCGTTTGAACTTGAGAATGTGTCTATTTCCCATGGGACGAACTAGGTCAATTTTTAAGGTTTTAATGGACGTCCATGAAATATTTCGGTCATTTTTTTTTTGAAAATTTTAAATAATAAAACGTTCATGGGCTATAACACATGAAAATCGATAAAATCTGCATTTATCTACTTTGGAGCTCATTTGAACTTGAAAATGTGTATGTTTTTCTCGCGAGACAAACTGGATCCATTGTTAAGGTCTTATGTACATCTATGAAAAATTTCGATCATTTTATTTTGAATACTCTGGATTACAAAAAATTCATGGGCAGCACACGAAAATCAGCAAAATCTGTGTTTACCTATTTTGGCGCTTGTTTAAACTTTGAAATGCACCCGTTTTTCCCGCAGAACGAACTTGGTTCATTGCTTACGTCTTGACATAAGCCCATGAAAAATTTTGGTCATTTTACTTTAGCAATTGCGAATAAAAAAAAATTCATGGACTATAGCACACGAGAATCACTAAACTCGTTTGAACTTCAAAATGTCTGTTTTCCTCACAGAGGAACTAGGTCCATTTTTAAGGTCTTAACAGACGTCTATGAAAATTTTCAACTATTTCGGAAATATTGGTTCACAAAAAATTGATAAACTATAGCACACGAAAATTAGTATAATCTGCATTTACCTTCTTTGAAGCTCATTTGAACTTGAAAATGCATACGTTTTACCGGAACAAAGTGGGTCCATTGGTAAGGTCTTAACAGACATTCATAAAAAAAAATTGATCATTTTATTTTGGAAATCTCGATTCACAAAAAATTCATGGACTATAGCACATGAAAATTAGTAAAATCTGCATTTACCTTCGTAAAAGTTCGTTTGAACTTGAAAATATGTCTGTTTTCCACGTGGAACGAACTGGGTCAATTGTAAGGTCTAAAAGAATGTCCATAAAAAATTCGACCATTTTATATTGAGAATTTCAAATCACAAAAATCCATGAATTATAGCACACAAAATTAGTAAAATTTGCATTTAACTTCTAGTCCATTTCTAAGGTCTTAAAGGACGTCTATGAAAAATTTCGGCCATTTTATAACAGAAGTTCTGGATCACAAAAAAATCCATGGACTATAGCACATAAAAATCGATAAAATTTGTGTTCACCTACTTTAGAGCTCGTTTGAACTTGAAAAATGTCCCTGTTTCCCTCGCGGAACGAACTAGATCCATTGGTAAGGTATTTCCGCACGTCTATGAACACTATTGGTCATTTTGTTTTGAGAATTTCGGATCACAAAAAACTCATGGACTATAGTACACAAAAATTGGTAAAATATGCATTTACCTGCTCTGGGGCTCGTTTGAACTTGAAAATGCATCCCTTTTCCCCGTGGGACGAACTGGGTCCATTGCTAAGCTCTTAACGGACGTCCATAACAAAATTCGAACATTTTGTTTCGGGAAATTCAAATCACCAACAATTCATGGACTTATAGCACACGAAAATGATAAAATTCAATTTTTCCGCTTTGGAGCTCGTTTGAACTTGAAAATGCGTTTGTTTACACCTCGGGAGCAACTCACACCATTAATAATTATTAGCGCATGGATCTGGTGCCTCAGAGCACTGTAATTTGTTTTTCAATTTTTTTTTAAGAGGACCTCCATAATGAGTTGAAGAAGCATTATGTATAATATTACCATTCTTTTCAAACGTATTTTTGTATTTACAAGGTAACTTTTAGAAATTACGTGACTTTTTTCATTTTTCGTGTGTATTAATACATGGATCTGACGCCTCAAAACACCCAAAAAGTTACCGAAAAATTCTTTATGAGGACCTCCATAATAAGTTGGAAAAACTTTACATACAATCACGTTTTTTTTTCAAAAATATTTTCATATATACTTGCCAGGTTTTAGGAATAACGATACTTTCTTGATTTTTCGTATGTATTAGTCAATGAATTTAACACCTTGGAGCACCGAAAATATTTTCTAAAAAATATTATGAGAACTTCTATAATGAGTTAGAAAAGCATTACGTAAAGTCAATCAATTTTTTTAGGCATATTTTTTCATTTACATACATCTTTTAGAAATTACAGGACTTTCTTGATTTTGTGTGAATATCAACCAACGGATCTGACGCCTAGTAGCATCCAAAAAAATTATGAATCGCAGCAGTTAAATCTAGAGGATATGGTAGGAAAATAAAATGAATATAGGAAGAAAAATCAGTTTCTCAATGCAGCAATTGGCCCAAATGAAGCAGAATGAATATGAAAATACAAGCACTCACAAATAATTTGGTATTGATATTTATTTGATTGATTAATTGACTAAACATTTCTTTCCATTATAGTCACTCACAAATACAAAATCCCATCAATCCATCAACAAAATAAAGTGAAGCACAAATGAGAGAACATGTTACAAAAATTCTGATAAAAGGAAAACTTTGTGAGGTTTTTGAAGATACATTCACACATGATATACATACAAGACAACGATTTTAGCGATGATGATGCTCCAATTCGCGTCTATGCTTGTGACTAAGAGTCCATAGGTGTTACTGAAAATCAAAGGAGATCCCACCATGACAGACAATTAGAGAAGGAAGTTATCTATCATATGTTCAATCACATCGGCGCCATCTGAATTAAGCCAATAAGTTTTCACCTATATCAAGCAAAATAAACAAAATAAGCACAATAGAACGCTAGAAAGGAATTCCGGGAAGAAAGTAAAACAAAATTCACAATTTAGTTGCTACGGGGAGTTTTTAACATGACAAAGACAGAATAGACAAAGCACTTTGCAACGCTTACAAGTCCTGATATGTCTAACCGTTTAAAAAAATTTAAAAGTCGAATACATAATAAGGTAAACAAACATTGTGGCTTAACGAGAAAATATCAGCAAGAAAAATGGATCGAAAGCTTACCTGAATAGTATTGTGTGCAACATATCGTTGTCTGCTTTCATGAAAACTAACATCAATTCGTTCCCATGGTACTTGTGTAAGGCCTTCAATCATCTCCTCTACATGGGCTAAGAAAGGTTATGTGAGAACCCTATCGATGCAAAAGATCGTGCAAAATAGCTACATAGTAGACTATTACCAAAAGAAGAAAAATGACGGATAAGAGAGCTGAATACTGAATAAAATGTTATAATTGTAATTAATTCGTAATCAACAATGTCCTCTTCTAAAATCTCCGGGAGCAGCACGCCAAAAGAATGAATAGCAAGTATCGTACTATTATTACAATATTTTTTTCCTTTGAGTGGGCCTGTGTATGCTACAAAAATAGAAGTAAAGGGTTTACAAACCTTCTAAATCAGCCATTTTCTTCCCTTCCAGTGAAGATAATTTATGGTTGATATCCAGAGTGGTTTCTTGCTCAACGTTTACGATATGTGGGTATTTCTGATCCTTTATTTGAAGGTTAGACTGGAGAAGAACGCAAAGAAAACCATTTACACATAAAAGAACAAATTAGTACTCGAACACACAATGCAGATAAGTCAACTGAATACCAACCTTTGGAAGTTCATCCTGACGACGGATTGACGATGTTCTCCATCCAACAACATCTTAGAGATGAGTTAAAGATAAAAATAACTATAGTATTGGTAATTTCATATAACCATGTCATGTAAAACCTAGAACTACGGCCTACAGCTTCACATGGTACATAGCACCGAATAGTACCAGGAAAACGTTAAGACAAAGGATTATAGTCAAGGGTGCTCAAGGAGAATTCAAGATAATTCTACTGTGGAAGAATCAATATAAGGAAGAGATGGAAAGTATGAACCCAAGGATGATCAACAGGCATGAACCAAATATTGCAGGTGACAACTAATAGGGAAGCAGTGTGGAGCATATATGCAAGGAACCGTAACATCAACAACAAGGTGCGAGAACCTAAACATAGTAAATAACATATGATAATAGATATGAAAAGCCAAAGACTATATGAATAGGCTAATACTACGAGAGACACGGTGCTCTAGACTACCACCAAGCCAAAGACTACATGAATACAATATTACTAAGACAACGCCCAACTACCTACTAGCCTTCTACCCTTATCCACGACCTCTAGACACTCGTACCTAAGGTCATTTCCTCGATAAGCTAAAGGTGCATCATATCCTATCAAATCATCTCTCCCTAATACTTCTTCAGCCTACCTCTGCTTCTTCTTGTCCCTACAATATCCAACCACTCACACCTCCTCACTGGGCATCTACACATCTCTTTCTTCACATGCTCAAACCATCTGTCATCTTGCCCACCACGGAGGTCACTCTCATTTTATCCTGAATATCCTCATTCATACCCTTATCGCTCCTAGTATGCCCACACATCCATCTCAACATCCTCATTTTCGTCACTTGCATTTTTGAACATGGGAGTTCTTGACTGGTTGCACCACATACAACAAAGTTGGTCTAACCACCTTTGCATAAGCCATTTGTCCGCCTCTCCTCCTGGTCTTTGCCCTCCACCAACTTTGCATAAGCAACCTCTTTGCTTCCACTTTGCCTTGGACTTCTCCATTCCACCACCAATCCCCTTGATGGCCAAAAAAGTTGCCCCTTTAAACCCCTAATACCTCTTTAGCAATCTTTGCTTCCCTAGAACAACTAGTTGTTTTATCCCACATGTTGTTCGTATTTCCACTACTCCTCCAAGCCCCCATAGTCATTAACTTCTCCCAATCTCCCAGGTTCGAGCAGGGGTCAAGCCATCCCATTTGATTCTCGATCAGTCATGGTCCTTTTTTTGGAAAGCACGATATAGGTATCACCAACTCAAAAGGTTTAGCAAAATCCAGAAGCGAAGTTCCTCCTCTATTTCTAATCCTAAAACCAAAACCTCCATGCATACCATCAAAACTGTAGTGGTTGACCCAATGTAACCGTTGAAATCTCCACCAATGAAAAGCTTCTCAGAGTGTGGTACACCCCTCACCACCTCATCCAAATATTTACTCCTTGAAGTGCTTCTTGACCTCTCATCCAAGCCCCTTGCAGCATGTAAGTACTAATTATGTTCACAGTAAGCCCTCCAATGATTAGCTTAACTGTCATCACCCGATCATTGATCGCCCTAACCTCCACCAGCTGCTCCCTAAGTTCCTATCTACTAAAATGCTACTCCATTCTTTTCCCTCTTGTCCTAAGTACCACAACTTAAAGTCGTGCACATCCGAGGCTTGGTACCTACCCATTTGGTCTCATAGATGCAAGCCATGTTAATGTTTCTGTTCTTGAGAATCTTCACTAGAACTATGGACTAACACTACTCTTAGTCTAGAAGACCCCTCAATCCACTTACCACTTCTGCCCCTCACCCCCAGCCCCGACCGAAGACATGACCCAGTCCAACATCGCTCACCAAAGCCACTAAAGTAGATACAAACTAAACAACAAACAACCGGAATATATACCAACTCAATCACTAGGGGGAATCGACATAAAATACAAGTTAACTAACGAAAAATAGCAAGTGGCATGACTAGTCAGAAAGAATAGTAGCTAAGTAGAAATTCAAACCAACGGTAATGTATACTAGTCATAAATAAAGAAAAATATCCCTCTAAAATTTTAAGACAGTTGCACAATTAAATAGGCATAAAATAGATGTGTTGGTTAAACTCATTATCATCTATCAACAAAATATCTTAACGTACTTGGCCTAAAAAGAATTAGTTTTCCACTTGAAGGGGTGTTTCAGACCTAAATTTCAGACTATATCTTCAATATATATATATATATATTGTCAGTATCAGGTGTCTACTTTTGTTGTAAGGTTCATTTACAGCATAGTGTATCGATGAACAACCATATGAACACTACTTTTAGATTTCATCATAAGAGCATTTAAAGGGTGAATATCTTCTCAAATCCAGCATCGTCCATTTTAAAAAGGTCAAATTCCCTGACCTAGACACTAAAATTTTAGTGGAAGCTTTAAGGAAGAACAATGACATTATCTTCAATCCTAACAGCATGTACTGAGGCTGTATTCAAGAATTAGAATTTTACAAGATGACATCAAATTTGTGAAAACCCCCACTGACATAGCAACATCTAATTTGATAGGAAGCACCAATCAAATGAACATCCCAAACTATAAAGTTTTACTAGCCCAAATATAACTATTCTGAGGTTTCCCTTCAGAAAAATTTGCAGACTATACGAGCGTATTTATGTGTTTAAAGCATATAACTTATAAAAGAAACCTGAAAAGAAAAATTGCACTCATAGGATACGGTCATAGTTTGCATTTGCATATGCCACACGACGCTTAAATGAGCGTAATCCTGACCTACACGGAAAGCCAAAGAGGTGTTACATAATAATACATTTGCCACTTCCCTCTAATACGAAAAAGGTATTAAAATTGATACTGACATGAACATGAGATCGTCTGAATCATTGACCATCCTTAGGAGGAGGGGAGGCTTCCCATTATCTTTATCAGTGAGGAATAGATGCTTTCCAGATCTCCCGGCAATCCAGTGAGCAGTTTGTAATGCCCCTTTCTCCAGCAAAGGAAGACCGCAGAGAAGTGGCAGCTGGAGAAAACAGAGAAATTACAACGAAATGGACAATTAGTATGGTCTGAAGTGATCTAGGAAATAAATTTTATTAAGAGATCAAAGTTAACAGATTTATCGAGATATGCAAGCTTTTGATCAAAATTTAAACAACAATAGTTGCTTGACTCAGTCCCAAACAACGATAAAAATTTAAAACACAAACTTACAAACAAACAAAAAATAATAACCAAAATAGAGAAATGTTATGGGTAATCTATCCCATATGCAGGGACAGAACAAAGTAAAAGGCAAGCTCAATACAAACGGTTATGAAGCAACAATGTTTAACTGGGTGCGGCCTCTAAACCAACAAATTACCAATGAAAGAAACACATATATTAAAAATAATGTGTCTCCATACCAATTAATGAAATGAATGTGCAATCATACAAGATTGAAACATGAAATAATCTGACAGAGTGTGCAGGTAGCACATATAAAGAATAAATGAGAGAAAGATGGTCTTTCTATGTCCTACCAAAACTTCAATACACATTGTTTGTATGTGCAATATTGTAAAATTTGAATGTGCTAAAAGCAGACGAGATAGATTTCATATGGAGAAAATTTATCTTAAAGTACCTCCAATCACTTGGATCCAAGAAGACTTAGCTAAGAATAAAACTGAATAGGAGAAAATGATCCATCAACGTGATCAACTAGTAGGTATTAAGGTCTTTCTTATTGCTAGACTTACATTAGGTCCATTATTTTTTTAAAACTGAATATACAGTAGGTCTATTATTTACCATGAATTTTGCTAGATTGGTTTCAGACATATATCCCAATGTATTGATAAATGCCAGATTGTAGAGACTCTTAGTTTGCATTGGAAGACAGTGTATTCAGCATTGTACTTAAGTAGGCTTGATCAAAGCTGAAGTAATGCACAAACTTCAAATAATCTACTTCAATTAGTTTAGAATTGAAGCATAGTTGATTGATTACCAAGAAGATGAAAAAAAATTCAAACAGTTACGCTCGCAAGTTAGGACAGGACCAATTTTTTCAGTGTTAAGGATGAAAGTAATTCTACACCCACCCCCACCCCCCACCCACCCCAAAAAAAAGACTGAGGATATCATCTTTCTATAATGAAGTTGCTTAGTAAGTTATTTAGTCGGTAAAAATGGAACCAACTAGAAAAAGTTGAATTGACAACTAATATCCACTAGTCACAAGAAAAAAGCTTGAAAAGGAAGGCACAAAATGTATGTCCTTCTGTGAAGCTTTTGATAGATGCCTACGCTCAAACTTGCCCAACTAAACTTCACTTTTCAGTAATTAAGCATTTGAAGTGGAATGACTACAATGAAGTTCGAAAAGCAGATAGCAATTGCTAAAGTAGGAGAAAAAGTCGACCAATGAAGAAAATATGAGATAATGACACACCTGTTTATGCCCTCTTGAGCCCAAATGCGGAGTTGCAACTGTTATGAAGTTCACAGGTTCCAAACCAGCAACAGTTTCTTCAGAAGACTGCTTGTGACACTGGTCAGATACATTCTCTTCCCTGACTAAGCAGGAGCGATTAAGACCAGCTACTTCTGTTTGCACTGGAGGTTCATACAACCTCCCAATAGCATATCTTGCTACAAGGCCACCCAAGGAGTGAGCAACAAAAGAGATCTTGCGCACCCCAGGCCACCGTTTGATCACATCCTCCACCTGCACTATAAAGCAGCAGGGTTTTTTCAACCTCAAATTACTTATTCTAACAGACATACATTTGCTAGAAATTCATTCAATAAGAACCTATTAAAATCAGAAAGTCATTAGCGAAGTACCTCTTTTGCAAGTCTCTCGCCCATCCTGTCAACGCCATCAAAAGTCAACATTGAATAATTGCACTCACTACCTGACAAGTCACAACATAATCATCGTCAGTTCAAACAACCTCAGTTCATCTCAATAGTTAAGATATGCAACAATCAATTGCATCGCAAAATACATAGAAAGAGAAAAACAAAATGAAAATCTCAGACAGTATTATTAAAGGCACAATAGAGCTGTATTTCAGTCTTACAATTTGCTTCAATGTAGGATGTGAACTTTGCCTCACTTGCACAGCACTTCAGCACAGGCAGTTATGCGCTAACTACTAAGTAGTGCTTTACGGGCTACAATTTGAAGATTCTACCTATCACCCCAACTAGATGGAAAGATAATATTTGTGTAACAATATTTCTACTATAGATCTCTGATATAGCAAGACAGTTATATGCATAACCTACTAGTTTGTCACAACCTAAAGTGACATAGCCCATTGTAAACCAGTAGAACTTCATTGATGTCCAAAGTCCACTTTCAAGGGCATACTATATAGATAGACACCTTAAATTGGCCTCAACTGGCACCCCAACTTTGAGAATGCACATCTAGATACCTTAACTTGGTTTCAGTTGGCCCCGAAAGCACACTTTTCTGGATGTGCATTCCCAAAAGTTGGGTGTTCAGTGTTCACAGGGTCAATTTAGACCAAGTTAAGGTGTATAGATGTGCCTTTTCAAAGTTGAGGTGTGTAGTTGCCAGTTGAGCCCAAGTTGAAGTGTCTATCTATGTATTCTGCCAGTTCCAAATTATACAGACCAAGGAACTTACATTTTTCAACACGGACGCCTAATCCCTATTCATGAGATCACACGGACGAACTTTTCAAAAGTTCCTACAAACATTCCATATGCATTTCATCCAAGTAGACCTAATGTAAGCCTCTTCTTCTACGTTAATGAAAACATCAAAGGGTCATGGTTGTCTTTCGGAACAACCTTAAATTACCATTAAAAATTCCCATAATTGCCGTGCACAGTGGTAGAGTAGTGATCCCTATGCTGCGCCAGATCTGGTGTACACTATCACAAGACAAATTCTTACACTGAAGTAGCAGCAGTAATTCTGATTCTAAGGCAAAAATGATACAACCCTGCTGCAACCCATTGAAGACATTTGACAAAATCCCCATAGAAGGGAGAAAAAGGAAACAAAGATATTCTGAACATGTCAACTCTGGCTATTTGGACCGGATAAGATGCATCCACACAAATAAGTAACAACGGGTGGCTGCAATCTGAAATTGATTATTACTAAAGTTGGACTTACAGTGAACAACAATTTTCTCAGGGAGCCTTTTGACAAATTGCTCAGCGGCATATCTCCAATCTGCAGAACTGCAAAGGCAGCAGAAATAAACTATTAAGAAATTTGGATTACTGGAATTAACATAAAAAGAGGATGTTGTTCCACTTATACCTGCCGAAAAGGTGACAATTATAAGACAAATGAAAGACAAAGCGCATCATTTTGAAAGCACCACAGTTATAGATATGAACTCCAGAGATCAGACCTATCATTACAATGACATTTGGTAGCACTCCAAAAGTATGCATCTAAAATTCTCATCAGAAGTGTGTCGGGGGGTTCTTTGAAGCATATACATAAGTGTTCTAATAAGATTTTCTTGGTTTCCTATTACACTATAACTTTAGCACCAGTAAGAATAGCATGGAACTTATGGAAGGAAAGAAATGGTAGAAATTTGAAGGCAGATCCAACTCTATTCAAAAGATCAAATGGAATTGTATTAGTTCCTTATGTTTTTCGTGTAAAGAGCATAGTATAGATGATGAAATACATATAGCAGATTTCATAGGCTTTTTGTAATTAATACCACTCTGTAGCACACTTTTTGGAGGTTGACAACATATCCTTTAATAATGAGGAATACAAAGTTACAAGTTTCAAAAAGAAATGGCATGACAAGGAAGTGTCAATGAAAACCAACATTATCCTTCAATTTCTGATTAAAATGGTGTTTTTCTAAATTTGTAAGTTACATATATAACTTTGGTTGGCCTTTTTGCTTCTAGTTTATGATAGGAGGTAATTCCCTTTGTCAAGGCCCCTAACCTATTTCTCATTGTCTTTTGAAATTTTTGCAGTTATAACATGGACCCTCTGTATAGAAGTCAAAAGATACTATTGCTAACACCATCAATAAATCATTTCACTTTATTACTTCTTTTATGCTTTAATTATACAGAAATCTATTTCTCTTCCCTCTCCACTCCTTATACCAAACAAAAGATTTGAAAAGGAAAGAGAACACCATTCATAAAGGAGCTATGACATACACATACCTACCAAAAAAAGAAACTATTAGAGAGTAAAGTACATTAAAGAATTTTTTTCCCCGCATTAATGGAGTAGAATAAGCAGGTAGTAAAAGAGATCCAAGGACATTCATCAGTTACTATTTACTAACTGGTCATAAGTTGAGTTTCAAAGTCTTTCTTTTTCTGAGAAAGGTAAGTAAGTTGAGTTTCAAATTCTTCATCATTCAATAAGAGCATAATGGACCTAATGTAGCAGTCCCCGTAAGTCTCCAGCTAGCGACAAGCACTTGTTTTCTCACTCCAGCTTCTGGCCACGTCACTTTTTATGTTTCGCGACATCTGCTTTCAGACAAAAAAGCACAATTGGATACCTTTTCCTTTTCTTGGGATAATTATTCTGGTTGCTCCATTTTTTAAACTAGTCATATCTTAACAATGTGCATTGCAAGTTTCTTTCTCATGACCAGAAAGCCACTGAGTGGGATCAAGATCATATAATGATACACAGGTTGATAGAGAAGATTGGGATCGAGATAACTTTTGAGAACTTGACTTTCCTAGAGGAAGTAACATCAATGTTTATCTAACTCTCCATCACTAATAGAAAAATGATTCATTTTGGATGCTATCACTTCTGAGAACTTGATTTTCCTCAAGGAAGTAATGTCACGGTTCCTTTTAAGAATGTTTTGTCATGTTTTCTTTAGTATTTCGCCATTACTTCTTCACTCCCGTTATTTATTTATTTCGAAATGCTTTTCCTTGAGCCAAGGGTATAACGAAAACAGCCTCTCTCTATCTTCTATGGTAGAGGTAAGGTCTCCGTATACACTACCCTCCTCACACCCCAACAACACTAATGGGATTATACTAGGTATGTTGTCGTTACCTCCCAATGAATACAATCCTCTTTCTGTTTTAGCAATCGAAAAGATAAACTCCAGCACAAATGTACAAAAATGTGTTTTAGATACTTAAGAGAAACTGAAGAAAAGAGGAAAAAGAAACAAACATTAGTTCCAGGCTACCATAATAATCACTCAAATCCTTAAACACAACAGCTAACAAAAGATACCAAAACAAAAGAATCAAGAAAATCATACTATTTCACAATTAAGCAAATTCCCCAAATACATCAACATGCTCCAAAGAGAAGGGAAGAAAAAAATCAATCTTTTTACCTCCCAACAAGCCCATTGACCATGACAACAAGATGCTCAGGCTGCAACTTAGCCCTAGCTGAAGCTGCATCAAACACATCTTCACCATCATTAACTGACTCAATTTTAACCTTCTGACCCTTCTTAAGACTATTTCTGAAACACCCTCTGCTTAATTTCCTCAGCAATTCCATTTCCCCTTTCTCATCCACCCACAACAGCCTACAATTATTGACACCCTTATTGTCAAATCTTGATTTTGACTTTGAAAAAAAACTCAAAACTGAGCCAGATAACTGTGGGACTGAAGTTGTTATTGATATTGGGATCTTGGGCTTAAAGGGTTGCTTAATTTTGGTGATCATAGGTGAACGATCGAGAAAAAATGGGCATCAAGAAAGAGTAAAAGTAGCAAAAGAATTGATTTTTATGAGAATTTATTATAACAAAGTCAAAGGCATCATTTTTATTGAATGCCCTATTTTGGGGTTGAGTTCAATTTTTGAAACTCAAATTTGTGTTGTTTCATTTCTAAGTAATAATAAAAATTATTTTGATATTAATTTTTTAAAAAAAAATCCCAAAGTAAACAAATTTGTTGGATCACAAGTTATTGTTTATAAGGTGTAAGTTCAGTTTTAGAATGTTCTAATTTAAGAAGTTTGTATAATGTATTAATGTGATAAGTTATAAGTTATATTTGGTATATTTAATTTTATAACATTATGATTTAAGAAATTTATAGTATAAAAGCCACAAGTTATGTGGTATAGAAAGAGGTGGAGCCATTAGAACGTTATTATTTAAGAAGTGTGAATAATGAACTAATGTCAGGAGGTACAAGTTATATTTGAAATATTCGACTTTTTAACATTATATTTTAAGAAATTTATAGTATAGAATTACATCTTTGTGGTATTAGGCATAAGTTTGTATTAGTAGATAAAATTTTATACAATATCATCCAACACATTGTATTACAAACAAATGACAAAGAAAGACTTCATAATTTTAAGATACTATACAATTAAAAAATTATATAAAAATGGAATAATAATATATCTCTTATTAAAAATAGGTTTTAGGACAATACCTATATTAAGTCATAAAGTGAATAAGGTCTAAAAGATTTCAAAAGAAGAAAAAAAAGGTAAAAACTAGCTAAAGAAAACAGAATGGCTTAGTGATTATGGATAAATTTTGATTGGAGAAATTTATTTATGGTATATATTTGGAAGGCGTTGGCACAAAATTTAATATAAATAACACTTAATTTATATAGAGGATACGATTTTTAAATAATTTTGAAATTATTCTGAAATGTATTCATCATTAATATAATTTATTATTTTTGAAAAAGAAACTTGTGCACTTGCTATGTTTTTTCATAACTAAAATTCAAAAGCTTTACGAAGCACATATTAGAAACTGAATTTCAAAATCACGAATCTAAAGCCATCATCACACCTTACGTATATATTCACAAATCACAAATAGTATATTTTACAATCCAAAAATATGATAAAACGATAAGGGTTTATTATTAAGTACTCAAAATGTAGAGATAAATCAATTTTAGTGTGCTAATATTTCCTCTTTTAAGACTTTGTACAATGAAAATATGTATTCATCGATCCTACTGAATATTAGTCAAGCCAATGAATTTCAGATATCAAATGTTCGTAAAAGAAAATGATATAATACCATGTGACTTGTACTTGATTAATAATATCTCACGTCACAAAACAAATTTATCAAGTTGAATAAAAAATAATGTATATAACCATAAAACATCATTAATCCAACATCAATAAGGTTTTTCACCAATATAATTTCCAGGAGGAAAATAATTACAAGTCATGAAAACATCACCACTATCACAAATAACTCTAGCACATCCAACTTTTCTAGTACTCTTCCACACAATTTGTGTATAATGCCCACATAATTGCCCTTCAACACAAGAATTTGATACATAATCATAATATTTTTTCTCATCAGCCCAAGCATTAACGGCATCTGTTGGAGTCCAAGTATTTCCACTACCCCAATAAATATTTTCACCTAATTTAAAATAACCTTCTTCAAATGAATGAATAAGTCTACAATCTTCTCTTCTTGAATTTGCCCACCATTTTGCATAATTTTCAAGATTTGAATCCCATGTCAAGGGTAATTCCATTTTTGTTGCTCTCACTAAATTGTGATGAAACAAGAATTGAATTGCTTCTCCTAAGCAATTCCAACATAATTGTTTTGAGATTTTGTAGATTGTTTCATTGTTGAGGTTTTCTAGACTTTTTTGATCAAGTGGTGATAATGATTTTGAAGGGATCTTAAGGGTGTGGATTGAGGTGATGAAAAATAGAAGAAAAATGAAGATTAATAGAGACTTCATATTTATTTGTTTTTTGGTTATGGAGAGATAGGTTGATTGTTTTAATTTCTTTGGGAATTGAAGTAGTGAATAATGTGGCTAGTGTCTTATTATATAAGAGTTCAGGAATATTAGGATCTACACCAAACTTTTGGAGAGCATAGGTACTTTCTCCTATTCTGTGTGAATGTGAAATGTTTTGTACACTAAATTAATTATTTTTTATTGAATAATATCGATTAGTATGATTCGAATGTAAGTCCTGAAATATTTGTATGATATTGGGGCTCTACAACACACTTTTGGGGTGCATGTTACTTTCTTCTATTCTGTGTGAATGTGAAATGTTTTGTACACTAAATTACTTTTTATTAGATGATATCGATTATGGTGAAGATTCGGGAATATTTGTTTTATATAATTGAAGCTTTAAACCAGACTTTTGAAGTGCATGCTATTTTCTCAAATTCTATGTGAATGTGAAATGTTTTGTGCATTAAATTAATTTTTATTGGATGGTATCAATTAGGGTGTAGGCTTAGGAATATTTGTTCTATATTGGAGCTATACACCACACTTTTGAAGGTCACTTTATTTTCTTAAACTCTACGTGAATGTGAAATATTTTGTACACTTAATTATTTTTTATTGAATAATATCGATTAGGGTGTGTAAGTCATTATCTAAAAAAAAAATATTTTTTCTAAAAGTATTTTGATATTTTGTTGTTGAATGAGGAAAAAATTATCTGTTGAAGGTTAATAATAATATTGAGATTTCTTTTATTTTTGGTAATATAATATTGAGAAATCAGGTAGCATTTGGACGAAGTTTTGAATATCAAAGAATGATTATAATATCCAAAGTTTTGATGGGAGCAAGTGAAATGGTAAAGTTAAAAGTTTGTCTAATGTGACATACTTTTTAAAAAATAAATTAAAAAGAATCTCAAAGGAGATTATAACTTTCTATATTTGGAAATAATTTAATTTTAAACTTTTATTTTATTTTTATATGAGATAATTTATATAAAATCGTGCTAAATTATAAGTTTAAGAAAGAGAGAAAATTTGTAAAAGATGATGCAAAATGAGATAGAGGAAGTAATATTACTTTAATTTTATATAATTTTTAGATATGTAAATTTTATATAAACACGATTGAGCAAAAAAATAATAATTAATTTTTTTTCATTTGTCTATATTTTTATCGACAAAATTACCTTATCTCTTTGTTATCGAGAGGTAGCGACAATACTCCATAAAAATAGTAGCTAAGCTTATCCGAACAGCATTAATATTACTATTCCTTTATATATATATAAAATGTTGAATAAAATTATTCAATATCTATATCACTATTACTATTCCTTTATATATATAAAATGTCGAATAAAATTACTCGATATCTATATCGCTGACACTAGTGTTCCTCTAATGGAAAAATTGCATGTTATATATGTGGCGTGGGTCGATTATACTAATAATTTTAGTAATATTATATGGTTGTAAAGATTACAAATATAGTGGTGGCATTTGACAATTTATGCAAAGATTTGGCCATTTTTTGTCATGGCTTTGATTAATAATTGCTCGTGAGCTATGGCATCATGTTATATGTTGAGTCCGTGAACTTGACAACAATTGTCCATTATAAAACTTCCACATGGCACTAGTAGAAAATCGACACGTTTCACAACGGTTGGATGTATTATTTGTTACGTTATTGAGGCTAGAATATCTCGACTTTGCTAGCAAGGACGAAATGGACACAAGAATAATCGGTTATAAGAGATCGGCACTGATCAAATGGGCCATTGAAATTTTTTTTCTACATGGCACCACTAGAAAACCGGCACGTTTTGCAGTGGTAGGGATAAATATGGAAAAAGATTATGTATTATTTATCACTAAACGTAAAATATCAATACGAAGTGAATAATGAGTGATCCGTTATGAGAGTTTGATGCATTAGATCGGAAGAAGAGAAAGAAAGGGCAATATTTGAGTTACGAGCTTTCACATAGTTGAGCAGCACGTTTTTTTAAACCGTTGAAAAGTTGTTATGTTTGTTTTATTTCACTTATCTTAGATTGATTGAGGTATGAAGTTTATGAATGAAAAATAAATAAATGAATTTTATGATTTTAAATCAATAATATACGTGCCATATTAAATTGTATAAAATTTACCTTTTGAATTTTATGATCTTAAACCTGTCATTTCGAATGTATGAAAAGTTAATTGGAAGTAAGAATTTAGGTCAATTTTCATTCTTCTGAGGTTCAAAACCAGCCCAAGCTGAAGGCCCAATTTAAAGTCTAATTAGGCCCATTAGATGCGTTTGAGTCGATTGCCCTATGATAGTAGGATGGTGTAAACTTGAATTTCGAAAAAAAAAATTATACATAATTTCATATTAGAAGTTTGATGTTATTTTTGGAACTCGATAAGTTTAGATTCACGTCAAAAATTACCACTTTAAAAGATAAATATATCAAATTAAAATCAATATCGTTCTGAAGACTCAAATTCAAAATAAAAAAATACTCATCATCTGCCACAAAAAATTTCTAATAACAATGTATCCAAGAGTCTTTATGACCAATTTGAGTGCATAAGGACTATATAATTATCCATCCATAAGTTGGTTTTCTTAAAATAATTAATTATGTATCATGTGCCAAAATATGGGAAATGATTATTATTACTTAGCTTACAAAATTATAGTATTGTAGCATGTGCATTTGAGGTATGATTCTAAAAATTTAGACATATGGATAATAATAACATTCATTATTTATCGAAAAATATTAAATTCAATTAAGTTTGATAACAACAGAGGATAAGTATTTAATAACCAATTAATATTTGATAAGAACTATATATTATCTCTCAAATATATGTCCTGTATAATGTCGGGAGATAACAGATACTCGATAAATAATTAAAATGCACCTGCAGGTAATTTTTCAACAACTTGGTATAAAATATCATTTTCTGGTTGGATTTATTTTAATTGCATGAAGAGTTAGAAATATATATATATATATATATATATATATATATATATATATATATATATATTTGTGGATAAAAGGTTTG